GCGCCACAACCCAGAAGAAAACAGCGAATTGAACACGATTTGCATAATTTTTATTTTCTCGAAACGAGTAAAGAAATTTCCGGTCTCAAAAGCGTAAAATGTCCACTCTTGATCCTCCGTTGGTTTCAAATCCTGTTAGAAGCAACCTGCCTCCAGCGACCCGAAAAGCCAGGCACGATAGAAAAAATAGAGGGTATGGGGTGAGGAGGATAGATTGGAAGAGCGCTAGGGAGCTAATCAAAAACCCAATAGTGGAGTGTTTGACTTTGGAGACTGTGGTGGGATACGGCTGCTGCAGCTGTGCGCCTGACTGATGTCTGTCTTCCGTGCTCCCAGCCAAACAAATCAATGCCTGCAGAAGCCTCGACGCCTTCCCTATTCTAATTGCAATTCTGTAACAATAAAAACAACAACAACAACAACATGAATAGAAATAATCATACTCTGTGACATGGTGTGGAAGTAATAATAGAAATGTACCCTAGTGATATTCGAAACACCAACATCTGCACCGTCACCTGGAATAGATGAAGATTTCCGTCTTCTGGGTTGTTGCGCTGTATAGTCTGGTCGATGTTAACCAACTTTTCAGAGGGCATACTGCCTCCGTCATCAGGGCGACTCTTAGTATGAAGATTTCCGTCTTCTGGGTTGTTGCGCTGTATAGTCTGGTCGATGTTAACCAACTTTTCAGAGGGCATACTGCCTCCGTCATCAGGGCGACTCTTAGTATGAAGATTTCCGTCTTCTGGGTTGTTGCGCTGTATAGTCTGGTCGATGTTAACCAACTTTTCAGAGGGCATACTGCCTCCGTCATCAGGGCGATTCATTTGCATGGATTTCATGAAAAGAATGATGGATAGACAATCAGGGCGATTCATTTGCATGGATTTCTTGAAAAAAATGATGGATAGACAAACGTGCTGTTGACATAAGTACTGACCCCTTCTTCGCCAAACATTTAACTGCTTAAAACAACTTTTCTTGTCATTCTTGAGTTACGAGATCACGTGTAACCTGGCTGTCATTCGAAACGAGTGACTTAAGTCTAGAGCACTGATCTGCTAACAGTAATGTAAATGTTGAGCTGCTCTTAAAAACTGCTTGTGTCAATTACAGCCACCGGCATTGTTTAGAATGAATGGATGGATGGGTCAAGCTGAGAGTTCATTTCGCAGTCTTTATACTCAGTTTGCCTATTGCTTTGCATCACCCTTGCCCGCAGTGATACATACATACGCGTGAAAACGCTTGTTACCTTCCCCCCAGTCTCCAACACAAATTTAAACATCGATTCGTTTTTGTTTGGCGCAATCAGTGTTGCGGTTTGCTGATGAACTAGCGTAACCTTTATGTTAGTTATTGTCAGAAGGCCTTGATGTTCCTCTGTTCCACATGTGTGTTGTGTGAATGTGTACAACGCACGGACAGCGATTGTCGAAAATCCCTCTAGTTAGAGGTTTGCTAATTGGACAGACAAACTGTACATGTAATGAAACTTTGACTGCGTGAAAGAAATATTTGTCAGCTGCACAAGTGGTGTATAACATAGGTAAATGCACTACGGCTTCTGAATTAGATTCCAAAAATGCAGAACATTACAATACGTAGCCGTCATAGACCAAATTGGAAACGAAAGCACTTTAATTACAGTTTTAACAGGCATTTTCTCAAACTCGTTTTTGGATAAAGCATCTCAAGCGTTTTTACATAATCCCATAGATGCAACAAGTATCTCGATAATTATCAGTGAAGGGCTAGGATTATAACTTACAATATTTGCTAGATCATAATTGTTTTTCTTTGCAAGTTTACATTCTAAAATCATGAAAATTTCTGCCGATTAGCCTGCAAGATATTGCTGACCTTGATTAGATCAGGTGGCGAGACATGCACAGTAAGTCTGTTATCATATATCAGACCCTATGTGTAAATTGAGTATGAAATACAAATACCGTTTGATTCGCTATAGAATCGTTTTTAATGTAGAGTTGAAACTTTTGATTAAATAAGGGACAGATGATTTTTGACCTGTTAAGTAACTGTCAGCTTCTGAAGCAGGATTGTCCTTTGTGGAGTTAACCATATGACCTACTTGTAATTCATCATTGATATTATGGTCTATATGGGACGATTGAACTAAGAACTAAGAACATAATACAGCAATATCATCAAATTTAATTTTCATGTTATTCTCCCTCAGAGAAGAATTTCACGACGTACTTGACAGTACATCGTGGTTTCTTACCTGCAGAAGAGACTTACAAAGGACGAAGTTTATTAGTAAATGTAATTGTAATGTTATCGTATAAAATTCATATTTCAGGGAATGGATATTTTATGAGAGTATGTAGAAAACACCCAATGAATATCTATAAATAAAATCAACTTTGAGTAATGTGCTTTGTTGTTTATCTGATGTTTCAATACCAATCAGGGGGTGACTGCATCCAGTACTGAGGGGTGGGAAAGGGACGGTTGTTGCTGATGGGATTGCAGTGTGCAATAAGCATTATGAACATAAATTTGCCCTGCTACAATGGTGATTTTGAAAAGGCGGCAGCAGTGGGCATCCACCGACTAGCAATTCACAAAATTGTTTACTATTTTCAGTGCTCGTGCAGCCATAATTATCCGCGAGATGTTGGTGTTAACGTTTTGGCTTTTATGGACATAACATTGCACTGCAGTTTTGTTGTTGTGTTTGGTGAATTTATGAGTGCGGGAATCTGTATGACAGAGGAAGCGATGAAACGAAAAATTGGGAAACCGAGTTTCACATGGATCCGGTGCACATACTGGATTTACGAATTTCTAAATAATTCAGATTCATTGTTTTTGTGTGTCTGAGTTATAAAAAATTGTGTACGTAATAAGATATAGATAAAAGGTGTTTATTTTAACATTGATCTAGTGTCTGGGTGGCCGAAGTCTAAGAGCAATCATTTTAAACATAAAATTTACTCAGCAGATCAAAACTCGCTTTGTAAAATGGTTTCTCACGATGATGATGTAAATCGACTAATAGCAGAGTTATGAACATTTGTGATAGGTTAGTTTTGTAAGAGAAATATAATCTCAGTTTATTTATCAGATAGATGTAAGTGCGTGTGTTTGGTCAAGGGAATAGCAACGTTAGTTTTGTAAGAGAAATATAATCTCCGTTTATTTAGCAGATAGATGTAAGCGCGTGTGTTTGGTCAAGGGAATAGCAAAACGCTATGAAAGCAATTCGCTGGTAGAAGAGAATTGTACCTTATTAAGTTACTATACTTATTTTCCAATATGGCGATATAAAGGAACAAAAATTCTATTTAATATGGAGCTATGTTCCCTGTGTTCAGCATTAACTGTCTTAACATACGAAAATTGCATAAAAATGCTTTACCGGATTAAATCCGAGGCACTGTTACATTATTCTTCCCTAAAACGTGAAATCGAATTACTGTTCAGCCAATAAAACTGCTTGATTGTCTCTGCCTTTCTTCTTTGTTGATTTATTTATCGATTCTCTTAATATCTGTTTCATTGACGTGACCCAAAGTAAGAGACCGACATCTGACCCTTGTACCTGTGTTTTCCGCATTTTCTTACACGTCGATGTAATTACCTCTAGAATGATGCGCATTCATCGGTTATCATCCTCTTGCGAACACAGCAGTGAAACGTGGAATTATGCAGCAGTCGGCGAACTTGGAGTAAAATTTTACAATATTGTTTTAAATAATCGGATATGATTCAGGTATATTTCGCTTCGCCACTTTAGTGGTCAGAACGTGAAGCTGACCGCTTGCATCTATATAATGCCGAGGTTAAGAATGCGTGGATTTGTATATTCACACCTCCATACGTCCTGAAGATTTAGTATTTACTTAAGCACAGGAATCACTTACTCTTTCTCGTTTTAAGTTGTGTAGGATCTGCTCCTTTATGTACGTGCAGTCTGAAGACAAAGTGTCCGGAATTTTTAATCTGAATTTGTCACGCGATTCTGCAGGTTTGGTTCCAGAACCGACGTGCTAAGTTCCGTAAGCAGGAGAGGTTAGCACAGCAGAAGGCATCTCAGACGTCTTCAACCGGAGGCAGTGGTGCTAGCACGTCGTCGCCTGGGGACAATGTGACGGTAAGCGGTCAGCAGCAGGTGGTTAAGAACGAATCAGGCGGCGGGAAGCAGACCGGAGGAGGTTCGGCAGTATCGGGAAACCCCGGAGGCACAACCGGCAGTAACAAGGACGTCAAACCTGGTACCCCGACTGCTACAGTCTCTACCACCCCCAGCAGCGTCTCCTCCAACAGCAACGATGTGAAGCCCATGAATGGAAACGGTAAGTCCGATGCTCTGCTGCGGCATGATATTTTGCATGTTATGTTTCGGGTCAAATGATTTGATGACAATCACTTCTTTTTGTTTTTACCATTCGTCAAAGCGTCCACATGAGGTCTGAATTTCAAACTCGTGTGCATTTATCTGGTGCTTAAACTGACTTCTGCATGGTTTGATCCTAAGAAGATTCGGTCCAGTTATCCTATGCACACGTATGTGTAATTCGTTCCAAGGTCGCATGAAGGTCGGTAGAATACAGCAATCAGAAGTTCAATACAATCTATTGTTGGATTAAGGAATTCATCTTTTCCTACACAGAATTTAAGTCTGGATATTACTCATTTAATTGCATGGCGAAGAAATACATTTATGTGTTCGGCTTGAAAATTAGCATCACTAAGTAGTGAATATAGAGATCAGTAAGATGCGTAATATCACGAGGTATAGCTAACTTATTCCACAGATCAGAAGCTAATAGTCGTCCAGCTAGCCAAGAAATCACCATTTTTATTGAAACCAAAGGTAACCGGTTTCTTTCCTGAACCAGATGAATCCTAGCCACACCCTCCGACCTTATATCCCAATGATCCATTTTAATATTATTCTCTCGTTTACCCCTACGTCTTGCAAGTGGCCTCTTTCCTTCAGGCTTTCTAACAAAATTTTATACACATGTCTTATATCTTCCTGCGCGACTTGTCTCACCGATGTTATCCTCGTTTACGCGATCAGTAGTGTCCTGTTTCAAGTTGCCATCCAAAAACTCGCTAGGAGAGACTAAGGCCAAATACAAAAATATGATAGTCGATAATCTGGTCGAGATTCGAACTTGATACGTCCAGAACACAAGTCCAGATTCAGTGTTGATCTGCGTTTTAACGCCGTTTTCGCTTGCAGGTAGATAACCAACGCAATGTTTCGGAAAAATATACTCCCTTCATCTTCAGGGCTAAAGTCAGAGGCGGTATATTCCTTCGAATCTTTAGTATCTGCCTAAGAGTAGGAAGTGCGTTAAAGCCCAGAATACAAGCATCGACATCTTTACCGCCATGAGAACCTCAAATATCACAGGACTGCATTTTTACCGCTGCTCCAGTCTATTCTGTTGTATTGTCTTACTTACACGTTGCAGAATTTATCCACGCAAAGGCAACTTGCGTAAATGGCGGAAACTCGGAAGGCATAAAAACGCCACTGGAGGCCCGCGAGTCATGGATTGTGGTGCAGTGAGTCAGTGCACCGGCAGGCACAGAGACCTAAAGAGTTGACAGTAATGGAAACACACGACCAGTGCGAAGCAATTTTCTAGATTAAACGTCAGAGTTGGTGCTGCTGAGAAGGGAGAAGGATGCCTTCTGTGATGGCGAGATATATGGCGTTCAAGCAGGAGCTACAAGGGGTGGTAGATCTTCTCGGGGGATGATGTCTGGTCTAGGGGCTGACTGTCACAGTCGTATGGGAGAAGGGATGCAGTTGTATAAAAGAGATGGACGAGGTCCAGTTGAAATCTTGAAGCTTCCCATATGGACGTCAAATTCAAAGGCTCGCCCTTCAGATTTGTCAAAAAAAGAAGAAGCGATGGTGCGTAACCATAAAAAACTCGATAGACACATTGATAGAGTCAGCCAATACAGTACACACGCGAAACATCGGATATCAAAGGAAATGAAAGGAAGGCGTGAAAATATTTGGTATTTTGTTTTAGTTTTTAAGCTTTTAACACAGCGGACTACGGATGTTCACTTGTCATGTTTTTGCTGATACACAGATCAACGTAAAAGAAGTGTGGAGGAGGTACGTTTATTGCGATATAAAGATATAGGCTGCACACTCATTTGTTTAAAATTAATTTATTGAAGACGCATTGAAACAGATGAGTAACTGTTGATGTTAATATACGGTGAATGGGGTCTATACGTGTACATGAACAATTGAAAGAGAATACTGAACGTATTTTAGGAGACTCCTAAATATTAAACAGTGGGAAAATTTTTAATGATATATTGCCGAATTTAATTAATGTTCTGCAATAAGTTCTTACCGTAAACGCAGTAAATCCAGCATACAGAAGTATCCGTGTGTCACAAACACTGTGGCTGAATGGACCTTAATTAAATTTTTGAGAAAAATAATATATAAAGTAAATTTAAGTCAGAAATATTTATCGATCACAGGAAATGAATTGAATATAATATTTTGGATTGCAGAAGATATTTGTGGAAATTAAACATGACTCTGTCGTTTTATCTTGTACGGGTTCTTGGTTCAATCTGTCTTCGCGAGACGACCACTCTGTTCTGAAGGGTCGGGTATAGTTTGATCACTCTTAACCAAATTGTTTTATTTTTCCTCTTTCCGCCGCGTACATCTAACCCCTGCAAGAATATAATATGTACGCCTGCGAGTATTTAGTTATACTACACGCGGCACACATCAGGTGGAGAAGTTGCCGAATCGAAAGGCGAATGTGTTTTTTGTTCAGAAATAACAGTACGTTCCTGTAGGTTAGAGACGGAAGTGTTACTCTAGCCATTTGGTATACGGTATTGAAGTTAGTATGATGATTGATCTTCAAACTACAGCTTTTGATATGGTTTAAAAATGTGAAATATCAACATCACCACAGCTACAAACCTACGTTCGGTGTTTCACTTGGCAGTCGCAGTTTTAGCTAGGCGTGGGAGATATCGTATGACGATAAATATAAATACACGATCGTCAATATAAGCTGATCTGTTTGTGCGTTGAAATTTACAAATATGATTATGACGTGACATTTTGATGCTGTGTTTGAATTCTTCCGGGTAGTGAAATTCTTTACTGTCGAAAATTGTCCAAAGAGATAGATCACTGAGTGTCATTAATATTAATGGACGCCAGAAGTGCTTCTTATATGTACTGGTCGCAAAACGAAATTTGCTTTTCCATATTCTTGCAGTATGTTCAGGCGTAATACGGATGTGTTTAGAAACATAAATTGAAGTGATAAATATTTAACAGAGGTACAGAAAACCATAATGTTTTATTTTATTTTCTTTATACAACTTGGACATGATAATAAATATGTTATTGCATTTTAACACGTTTAAACCGAGGCTCTCCGTCAGCTCGTCCTCGCTGGTCTCTCCACACAGATGGCAGCATTTGGTCTACAGTAAGAGAGTAACAGCTTCTTCCAGGAAACTTCAGTTTTTCAGTTTTGGTTATTCAGCACAAGGCCAACGCCGGCACTCGACTAAGAGATGATTACCCACCTTTCACATGACGAAACCTGGCATCTCTACTCTTTGAAGCTCCATATTTTGTTGTGTGTGCGCGTGTTCTGTAAAGTCACTTGGCAAAACAAGGGCGGAAAGTAGGAACCTTGCACTCCGCGATTTCCGCTGGGTCGTTAGGGACAGAGTTAACGAGCGTCCAATCTCTTAGCACCCGGCGGCGTCGCTTGATTCGTCGGAAGAACACAATATGTCCCTCCTCCATCCTCAGCCCATTGGTCGATACCATATGACGTCACTGATTGCAGCCTCATCGTGTACTTACTGACGACGTCTCAGCCTCCCTTACGATGTCTCTAACACAGGACGATTCTTAAATCTTACGCACTGTCAAATTTCTGAGCCAAACGACTGATCGACTCCCTCTCTCATGTTTCTCAATTTTTTTTTTACATCCAAATGTTACAGTAACTGCCAGCAATCTAATTGCACTCGACACCCTTTTATTCCTTGAAAACCATATTAGTATTTTTATTCACCTGAATCTTGATCTGTTTCCACGAAGTTTTCGGGAAAATCGTTGTTTCTCTTGTCTGTCATGCGCCTATACATGCCGACCCTAAACGTTTCAAGCTAATTGGGTTTTGAGCCTTCTATAGACGTTGGGATGGACGAAGATGAACATTGTTTCGGAACTTCTGAAATTTATGAAATTTTAGTAAAATTAGATGTATTTAACCTGCAATAAAATGGTTACGTAATGAATTTTGATCTTCCAATTTTGTGGACTAATCAAGGTACGTGAATATTTCGCTGACGTGTTTCTTAGTTTCAAAACTGTGTAACTCCCGGTTGCATCGTGTCAAAATTACTCTATACTACGTGATACTCAGCAAAGTAGATGTTTTTCTTCTTAATCTTAACAACACGCTTATTGCGCAGTGGTCGGGAACACGTCAGTCTGTGATAAGTTACAAGCTTTCCAATATCATTTGATTCTGAGGATTACTCTCTGCTAGATTTTATCTCTGTTTAGTCTTGTCATGCGCCTACAACCTTTCAGAGGTTCTTGCTGCCTTCATCATCAGGGCGATTGCCCTGGTGAAAACCTCACATTCTACTTGTTTGATTCGACTATTTCAGTAGACTTTTCTCTTATGTTACGTTCATGCAAGATAGTTAATTTATATAAAGACGAGCAGTGAATGGAGTATTTTAAGATTTCTTTGCGTGAAGTGATTAATTGCAAACTTTGGAAACGTGACAAAATAATCTTCGCGAATTGTAACAGCATTCCATCTGATTATGACACAAATAAGCTAAACGGTGACGAACCTGTTCGTGCGAATACAAATGGGTAATCAACTGTCAGTTACACATCCCGTAGCCTAAAAGTACTGCGCTGATCTGAGTCTAGCCAACTGTTGCCATCTGAGAAGAAGACGAGAAGTTTACACATTTTTAAGCGGAGCTGTGTTCTTTTCAATCTCGGTGCTAATCGAGTACGCCGGTGTAGCTGGTAAGCGTTAGATCCTCTTGGGCTCTTGGACGGGTTACCCTCTAAAGTGTGGCCAAACTGAGATGCTTCGTGATTTTCTTCAGTCATTTAAAGCTTGATAATCGGTGTTATAATTCGTTGCTTGCTATCCAAAACAGTAAAGATCAAGATATATAAAACAATAATTTTGCCTGTTGTCTTATATGGCTGTAAAACATGGTATCTGACCTTCAAGGAAGAATGCAGATTACAAACAAGGCGATCAGAAGATATTTGGACCTAGGAGGTATGAAATAAGTGCGGAATTTAGAATATTGCATAACGAGGAGCTGCGTGAATTGTACGAGTCACATACAATAGTGAGGATATTGAAAGCTAAGAGGTTCCGATGGGCTGGTCATGTAACATGCATAGGGCGGCAAGGGCTACATACAGAATTTTGCTAGGGAATCCATCTGGAAAACGACCACTGGGCAGACCAAGAAGGAGATGGAGGATACAATCAAGATGGATCTTAGGATGGCAAATGGATGGAGCTGGCTCAGGATCGTGGCCGGTGGCGGGCTTTGGTGTTGATTCTTCGGGTTCTGTTACCAGGGAGTTAGTTTAAGTAATTCAGTATGCGTTTTTATACAAAAAGCTTAATATAAACTTATATCGGATAAATCGCGTCTCCACGTACTTTTAAGAGTTCCATCTTCGAAACCATTTATTGTACTTCGATGAAATTAGGTGTAGGGGGATCTACTCTAAACGTCGCGGTACGAATTTAATTTTGATCCGTATAATCCCTACTTTACAAGAAGCTTCAAATCTAAGTTCTATAATTCCTTTTCTGCGTCGATCTGTGGAATCCTCCTTTGCACGTGCAATTAGAAATGCCTAGTGTCGTGAGCCGAAAGAGAGGCTCTAGTTTTTGTAAACTCTTTTGTATACTTCTAGTCCCCCCTTTCTTGTTTTTTACCTCTGAGACAAAAGATAAAAAAGGAAAACCTTGGGGTGATAAATTGAGCAGACTTGCAGACTTACCCACACTGCACCCCTCAGCTCCCCTCGTCTTTCGGTTTCCTCTTCCATCTTTTTGGCTGTAGGGAGTGCCTCATGTAAAGTGTTCTTTCTGCACGCATAAAACCGACTGGCACAGCCCATTATTTCTCACCTCGCCTTGCATTTGTCTCTTGTTGAAATTTTTCCTTAACGACAAAACTCGTAACGAGTCCTGAGGGAATCACTGGAGAGAGATTAAACTCTGCCGGAGTCCACGTGGTTGAATTCCGGTCCTTCGTAGGAATTGATGACGCTCAGAAAAAGTCGAAAGCTTGGAGTTCTACCTACATTTGTGCTTTTTTCATATGTACGTTTTCAAGCTTATTCTTTCCTTAAACCTCCTTCCAAATTCTGCTCTGTGTACACGTTTTTACTTCGAAAAATTCTTAGTAGGCTCGCATGTCCAAAGAAATTGCACACTTTTCAAAATCGGCTCTATGTGGAAGAAGGTAGAAAACTTCTCTAAAGTTATCTGATAATGTTTAAAATTTAAATTACTTTAAATTTAATTGTTATGGATTAATTATACTATAAATGTACATACTTTTTTATTTCATTTAATGAAATAAAATATTGGATTATATTTGATACATTGTTTATGTTGGTAATCCTATAAGAATACTGTTTTATATACTTATATTACTTTAATTTGGAGTACTTGTGGTAATAGAAGTATAAAATGAACAGTCTGTCATACATTTAGATAGCTTTCTGTGACACTTAAATACTACGTGTGTTTCTGGTGTTATGTTTTGTAGCACGCATGCGTAGTGCAAATGACAAAGGAGTGAAAACAACGGAGCACGTTGGAATGTAGTGTCGTTGCTTGCTTTTCTGTGTTTTGTGGAAGATCGTTTACAGAAGATATGAAGAAGTCCTGAAACTACTTTTGTCGAGTAAGTACTGCATCAGTTTATTTTTTGTCTTCATGTTTATAATTTCAAGTTCTTTGCTTATGTACTTGCATGCATGCGTGAGATTACGTGATTTTGTTAATGAAAAAATGTATCATTGGTTGCTAAATGTTAATGTCCCTGTTCCAAAACATGTCAGTAGCTTTAGTCACTCTTAACGGCGAAGTCCGTGTACTACTTGAAAGGTCGCCAATGAATAAACCTCCACACTTATTTTTCCCTCTTTCAGTCTCTTCTAGTTCGAAACTGGTGATAGTGCAAATCACCAGCTTCAAAATGAGCCCCACACCACAAATTACAGTGTTATTTCCTCCTCTATGCACATCCCATGGTATCAGAACAGCATGGCTGTTATGTCTTTTGTCGTTAAGGTAATTAGTTGGTTAATTAATCAGTTAATTACGTGATTCGTTAGTTAGAAAATCACTGGATTGCCGAGATAAATATTCCCTGATCGCGATACTAATTTCGTTGGGGTGTGGGTTAGGCTTGTGCCTAACTGTGCCTCAGACAAATATTCCCTGATCGCGATACTAATTTAGTTGGGGTGTGGGTTGGGCTTGTGCCTAACTGTGCCTCAGATACGACTAACAGCGTTGTTTGATCGCAGCCAAACTCGTGGATGACAGCGGGTCTGCAGGGGGCGCTAACAAGTGGTCGTCGCAGCAGTCTTGCGGTACGCCACTGCTGGTACAGCAGGCTGTCAGCAACAAGGTCTCTCTCACCGTGACCCAACAACATCAGCACCAGCACCACGGCGGGAGCGGAGGAGGCCTCAACAATTCGGCCATTTCCCACCACCACCACCACCACCATCATCATGCCGCCCTGACGTCTCCGTTCTCGTCTCTTTTGGGGGCGGCAGCGGCGGGGGGCAACTCTGCAAGCTATCTCCTGGGGGGTCCAGGTGACCCCCTCAGCCTCAACAAAGTCGTCAACTCAGCTGCCACGGCGAACCATCTTTTCTGAGATTTATCCATCTAGGGGCGTCTTAGTATGGCGCTTTGGGGTGTGCATCCACCCGAAAAATGTGCTTGATGAAGCAGAATAGAAATAAAACGTGACATGACAGTGATTTCCAAATCTTTGCTGGCATCAAAAAAATGTTAACATAACCGCACTTCAACACTAACATCGTGACGTAAGCATAAACTATGTGCAGCCTGTGCATTCTCTTGAATTTTGGATTAGCAAACGAAAACTTTCTCCTAAAAATTACACTCTAATTTTGTAATTTGCTGTAAGAATTATGTACAGTCGGTAAGAATGTAAATTTTATTCTTTTTTTATTCCTACGCTATTTACTTCAAAACGCATTCATCTCTCCATACTCGTGAATCCGATATTCGCACATTTATGACTCCCAAATAAGTGATGTTAGTAATGCAAGTGAAAATTCAAAAGGAATTAAGAAAGAAAATAAAATATATTCATACTTCATTAAAATGGTATATAGGACCCTGAATATATATTCATCACAATCCAAGCCTTCGTTGGTGGAATGCATAATGCTGGTATGTGGATCAGCGTTTTAGGGGTTCTTAAGGTTAAGAATTTATCCCAGTGGAACTTGAAAGAGCTGTATCGTGTCAGAAATCTCTTACACCCGGAATAAAAATAACGGAGAGCTTCGACGTATGTCTGGATTATGTTGTCTGAATACAAAATAATGAACATGTCTATATTTTTTAAAAATATATTACTAGATCAAGGACCCTGATGATGGAGGCAGAGACATTCTCCGAAGCGTTGGTTTGTAGCTCCGTACTTAAATAGCTGATCGCCCTAGAAGAATTCATTGCATTCAGTAGAGGAATATTGTTGCTCCATGTAAGCAAGAATGTCTTTTCTACATGACAGCGTTATTTCTGTTTCACTTTGTTAGTACTTCGTTCCTCGCAATAGATGTTTTGTTTTTGGTTCTCTGTAAAAGCCAGTGACAAGGAAAATCCTGAGCCCATCTAAGTTCTACGCTTATCAGTAAAGTTCGTTTCAGAGATAAGGCAGAGAATTGACGTTGTGAAAAAGACATTTATTGTTCGGATTGTATACCCCATCATCTGTGAAATACTTCAGATTTGATCCGTGTTTTCCTATTTGTAAAGCACTGTTTAGTGTGTGTCCAAATAACTTCTCGGATCGTTATGTTATTATCATTTCATACATTATCAAATAACAGTTAAAAGTGAAGGGTGTTTATTATAAGGTGTGCCTAATTCTAGGTTACCTTTACTCCATCTGGGCCCAATTTACGAAGGTAATCCAGATGGTTACAGTAATAAGGAATGCAGTGATAATCAGCATTAAGAAATGTTAATGTAATTTTAGAGGAGTATAATGATTTTTGAATTTATTTTGAAAGTGCGAGTACTTAAGACTGCCACCATCGCAGGAAGATGATTTCATAAACATTTTAGTGGGTATATATTATGATATTATAACTGTTCTTACAAGAAAACCTTAGGTTCGTTTTCTCTGTTGCCGATTTCTAGCCTCTGCATTCAGGCGTGCTGGAAAAGTTCCAACGAACTAGAAGAGTGGTGTGTCCTTGCTTGCCCGAAGACATTAAATAATAATCGTCAACCGTCCCTTCTTTACTTTAGAGTAGGCGTAAATTGTAAATTACTGACACAAGATAAAATTTGACTATCATTTTGCATAACATTTGGTGGAAAGCGATTTGATGCAGGAAATTTAATTTTGTAATATTATGTAAAGATGTTTATTTGTCGTCATAAAATTTCATAAGTTCCAGTGTATGGTTGTAAATCTGTTGAAGAATATCAATAAACTGTAGAATTTAATGGATTAATTGAATGCATAGCCCTTTTTTAGAGTGGAATCTAGTTAGTATGAAAATACCCTTAAACCATTTAATTTTATGAAATGTAGTATGGAAAGACTGATGATATTTCTGTCTTTAGGTTTACTTAACTTTTCAGAGTACAGCGATTTCTCGATATGCGCACCATATGCGTTAAACTTAAGCAATTCTGCACTTTGCATACAGAGTGTACTTAAAGGTTTCGTATGTTTCTCAGAGTAAAAAGCGATTATATCCGTAAAGACCGCCAAATACTAACATCGTCCGTGTAACTTCATTATACTACAGTATGTCATTAAACATTCATGTGAACATGAAGTGTCCATGCGACGTCCAATTATTGTAAATCAATTGATCACCGAACTTCGAGTTCAAATTCTTCAAAATATTAACGCACTTCTGAAATATCCCCGGATTTACATCTGAAATGTCACGTGTTCTGAATCTGTCATACCGCAGACAGCTAGACGCAGGTTTCTCATCGTGAAGACCCTTGATTAATCCCAGGCGACTTAAGTGAGAGTCGTGGTGTATGAAGTGGCACTGAAGCAGGTTTGTTTTGAGTTCTTCGATTTTATCTCTCAAATCCTCATTTTATTATTACTCCATACTCATCTATCAAATATATCACCCCCTCCTCCCAATGAGGAGTGCGATAACAGTGATAGACGATATTGTCATACCCTCGGACATTACGGGCTCCATCTCTGATCTGTGCTGTATTGTTTCCATGAATTTTCATCCCTTGAAACTTCAATGAAGAAGTCCTCAAACGTCTTTATGCAGGCATTACGTTAAGCCAAGCGGTTGGCTACTGAACAGCTTTACGTCGAACATAATAATCTGGACAGTTACGTTAGATTGCAATTAAGTTGAAACTTTTTTGTTATTACATTTGATCCTTAAGCTCATTAAACCGAAGCCGTGCATCGGACGTCGATTTGGGATGTATTTGAGATGTTACATATATACAGTTGATTATTAGTTTTGAACATAAAACGTTCTTTGTTGAGGTAAGCAATTTGTGACTGAGAGTGCCTTTCTTTAGCTCCCCACCCCTCCAAGTTTGATGATAATTATATTAAATTGTGAAAACATTTTAAGTTTCTTACGTAGAACTGCAATTTGGATTTAGAGAAGATCTACCTGATTCGCTCGGATAATTTGAATTGTGTATATCCTACAATAAAAATGTCACCTGGCACTTAAAACAAGTTCGCATTATGTAATCCTGTTAGACAAAGGTTAATGTGTTCATATTATGGTAGCCTACAGACAGCAGTTATCTCCTTCACATCGGTATTTTGCGATTTGATTACCTAATCCACGACTTAATCGCTTATAGAAACTGCGTCTGCCATATCAATTAATCTCCACATTTTAACCAATTACATTTCTGGCGCAAGGAAAAATTTACATTATTTACGTTATCAACTAACATATAATTTCCAAGTTTATGAGCTGAAAACCAACTTAATTTTGCAATTTAATCTAGGGAGCATTGTGCATGTATACATTATTTCGATCCAAAAGAAAAACAATACAAACTCACCCCTATTTCCCAGAAGGCTAATTCCCACATGAACCGTACGTTACCACTTGCCTCCCCCCCACCTCCATTCCCCGTTACCAACACCTGCCCCTCCCCAATTATCCACACAAACACGTACAGGTAGCCTTTGGGGGATTTTTGTTTATATGCATATGAACACGATTTATGCTTGAACCAACTCCGCTACATTGTAAATTAGTAAAAATTGGATGTAAATCACTGGGTCCACATACCTTTATTCTGATTAGCCAATACTCGTTTAGTTCGGCTTACAAATGAACGCAACTGCAGTCGGAGTGTGCATGCTGGTCTTCTCCATGGTAGCCTATTTTTACTTTTTGTCGCGAAATACTGAACATAGGCTATTTGATGGTTAGATTCACATCAGCATTGGTAATGAGCATTACGAATTTAAATCCCACCATTCAAAGACTACAAAGAATCAGGTCTAATCGCAGATATAATCGATAGATGACTCAGATTTTGACCGTTAATTTTTAAAATGTAGTAAATATAGCTACAATGGCTTTGACCTTTCATTAGAATTGACCTAGTGATGCGTGGTGCCTATGATACTGTGGCGTGTCTAGGGCTTCATTTCGGTTAATTAAAACATCTGCACAAACTTCAAGTAACGAATATTACATAGACTACATCAACTGTGCTGCTTAATTGATTTTTTTAATTTCGAATGTCATTACAGATATTTTAAGGCGGTGCGAAGAGCTGAACCCTTAAACTTCCTTCTGTATAATACGCAGGGAGCCTTCGATTTACGTTGTGGGCGGATTCTTAGAAACTACGATGTACAACTTAAAAGCAACGTAAATGGGACATCACAAAACAGTTAATTGTCTGCTGCATTAATCAGAACGACGTTGTATGAGACAGGAATGACGTTGAATGATTTTTCTTTTGTTAGTTAACAAAAGTAGAGCGAAGGAACTCGTTCGGAATTACGGTAAATAAGAATCTGTCTGTGTGAGTCCTTGAATATCACTCAAAACACAACACTAGGACACCAAGTCTTTTTTGAAAAAGAGAGAAGAGGCAGATTCGTTGTCTCCTTAAGAGAAATTCACTTTACCCTCCTGAGAATTTCAGCACATCATTTTATGAAGTCGAGGCTTTGATGGAGAAACGTCGTCTCCTGTGGGATCCATTTCTTATTGAGCGAAAGAACAGAAGGCGAGCAGTTGAAACCTTTCTCTCTGGTTTCAACAGATTCATCATGCACGTTTTAACCTGAGCTTACAATTTTATATATTGTGTTACTTTGTAGAAGGGTTATACTGTACATAAGGCTTGTAATACTCCAGGACCAGCAAAACAAAGTTCGAAGGAATATTCATTTTCAGGATCAAGAGTTAGGGTCACGTGGCATGATGGCACGTGGGAGATAGTTAGTGTAACCTGACCGTACTAACAATAGCACGCTGTGCCAGCTGTTGTTATGACTCAGGTCATTTTCCAAAAGGAATAGCGAAGTTGCGTTATCGTTTGGTCCCTTCCTGAATCAGTTGACAGAAAAAAAAATAAGAGACGAAATCACACCATTTTTGTGGACCCGTTTATCTTAACAATAACAATATAATAACTGTGTGAAATTTTGAAGTGTAAGTAAACTAGCGGAATTAGTGCAGTCGTGACATCCGTTTGGAGGTACGTCACTAAAATCAGTTTGGCCTATGAAGCAAAACGATGTGAGTACTTGTCCTTTGGATTTCGCGACTGGTGTTTAACAGTACAACTTAGATTTTCAGGGATAATCCACGACGACTGTTGAAGGTGTTGCAACGTTCCGGCAATGGCAATGTCTGCCGAAACGTTGGAACCTCTTCCAACACTCTACGCGGCTTTTCCCCGAAAACCAAAGTTATGCACAGTGAAAACTATTTCCATTTTAGGTTTCGTTGGACGTATGAGTCATTACAGATGGGCACGCTGAATCTGGTATGCTTAGAGGTTAAGAACAGTGCAGTCTGGTTCTTCTCAAGGATTACCGTCCGTTTACTTCCATAGGAGTATGTATAATCTGTTACTGGTAATTTGCTTGCTACAGCCTATCGTGAGTCAGAAGGGCACCGTCTCTACGGCAGTGTGGTAATGGGTGTCATTTGTCGCCTGGAGAAGACAGTTACAGCGATCCGTCCAAGCCTCCAGCTCTTTCGCCTGTTGACGTATACAGTCGTACTTACCCCTGCCCCTCCCCTATCTTCGTGTTCCTGATTTCCCAAAAGGCTTTCCTCCTCTTTGTCGTCTTCTTGGTTTTCTCTTCTCAGGATCTCGAATACCTTGCATCAACTTCCGACTCTCACCACGGCGTAGAAATTAATGGCCAATCTAAAATTATGCTGCTGTAAAACCTTTTCTGACATTTCGGGTCGTCGTTATAATCATTACATGTCTATACCGTCACTAAGTTAGGTCATTAATGTAGTTTCTCCTTGCCTTTTAAAATTTGCATCGCCCTTTGTCTTTGAAATTCAACCGAGTCGTCTTATTTCTGTCGTAAAAATATCTCGGAGTTCAGTGTCATATTTCAGCTCCCCATATTCAAGTAATCCAAAGTACCACGTGGATTGTCGTGAGACCATCGATGCGACTTACGTATGTTGTTGATTCCGGTACTGGTGAAAGTAGCTTCATCAGTGAATAGTATTAATGGAAGCAATTGGCGATGAAAAAGCTCTATCTCAGAAACCGTTCGGAATAGGACACGTGTGTATATATATATATATACACTTTTTGCTTAGAATGACCGATACTATGACCTCCCAGAATATTGACCATTCCTCCTGGGACACCTGTATATATAAAGACAATATGCAAAGATGGAAAATAATTAATGTATAGGTTGGAAATGTTGAATGTATTAGTAGTAAAAAAAAGTTGTTTATTTTATGTAATATGTGAAGGTATTATAAAAATTTTGTTTCCTGTTTATTATCCATTATGTACAGGTGGATGTGTGTGTGTGTCTGTATATACAGAGTGAGTCAAAAGTATGTTTACAAACTTTGTGTGCGTGTTCCAGGATCAAAATAAGAAAAAATGTTCCTATGAACATGGAGGCGCTAATGTTTAATTTTCGAAATAATAGCTAAAAATAAGTTTAAATGAAAGAATTATGCAAAAGTGAATCCAGCTCCAGAAAGGATTTTCAATTAACATTTGGACACGAATTGTTGGCGACATGCTTATTGGTCCACACATGCTTCCATCGCGTAAAAGAGGACCTCCATGTCGGCGATTCTTAAGAAGACGCTTGCAAAGACCGGGTCCGGCAGAGCCCCTGAGAGGTAGAGACAGGGTGAGACAGAGAAAGTGTCCGGCAAAGACAGAGTCAGGCAGAAATCGGTGCTGTTAGGAATCGGGTACAGAAATTTTTGAAAGAAAATTTAAAATTTTTTGAAAAATCAAAATATTCTGCAAA